GGGGGGGGGTCGAAGGGCCTCTTTGGCGTGGTTGGCTGTGGGCTATCTGGCCTTCAGTTGCCCTCGAGGAATTTTAGATCGTTGTTCGTAAAAAATAAATAAATTAAAAATCTTTATTTTTGTAATTGCAATGTTAGAAAGGATGCACTTCCAACCCCAACATTTCGCAAAGTGCATGGTGGAGCTGTGTCTTCATCAGGGTGGGTTTGGCTGGATCATCTTTTATGACAAAATCGGGTTTGTGCCACATGGGTGTGTCCGTATTTTATTAAGGCACTTGTGGGCGATGCTCCCCCTTAGCTCGTGGAGTCCTGTGAGCAAAAGTTCTACTCTGTGAGCTGCTGGCATTAAAGGGGTGAGCGAGCCATTTGGCTCCTGCGTAATCCAGTTTGCTCTGGAGCCCTCCTTCCTGAGCTAAGACAAAAATGCGTGAGCCAGAGGCTAAAAAGCTGTGAGCTAGCTCACACTAACTCAGCTTAGAGGGAACACTGCTTGCGAGCTCCTGGCATTAAAGTGGTGAGCGAGCGATTGGGCTCCTGCATAAATTCCAGTTTGCTCTGGAGCCCTCCTTCCTGAGCCAAGGCAAAAATGTGTGTGAGAGCTGGGGGCTAAAAAATTGTGAACTAGCGCACACTGACTCAGCTTAGAGGGAACACTGCTTGGCACCAAGGCTCCCTCTCAGCTGTGGCGTCTTGTGAGCAAAAATTCTACCTTGTGAGCTCCTGGCATTAAAGTGGTGAGCGAGCCATTTGGCTGCTGCGTCAATTAGTTCGCTCTGGAGCCCCATCCTTCCTGAGCAAAGACAAAAAGGTGTGAGCTGGAGGCTAAAAAACTGTGAGCTAGCTCACACTGACTCAGCTTAGAGGGAACACTGCTTGTGGGTATGAGTCCCGTTCCCCCCCCGCCGCCGCCTTGCCAAGTGTGTTTCATGCAGTGGCTATTTGCAGCCATTGCACTCAATATCGGCCAGTTTGCGTTCCCCAATTGACATTCTGCAGTGGGTGCAGGGTTGCCAACTCTGGGTTGGGCAAATTCCTGGAGATTTGAGGGTGGAGGCCTGGGGAGGGGAGAGCCCTCAGCAGGGTCAATGCCTTAGAGCCCACCCTCCAAAGCAGCTCTTTCCTCCAGGGGAACTAATCCCTGTATAAATCGATGGTGTGACCTTATTTGGAGTACTGTGTACAGTTCTGGTCACCACACCTCAGAAAGGATACTATAGCACTGGGAAAAGTGCAGAAAAGGGCAACTAGAATGAGAAAAGGGTTGGGACACTTTCTCTATGGAGAAAGGTTAAAGCGCTTGGGGCTCTTCAGCTCGGAGAAATGACGGCTGAGGGGTGACATGATCGAGGTTTACAAGGCTATGCATGGGACAGAGCAGGTCGAGAAAGAAGTACTTTTCTCCCTTTCTCACAATACAAGAACTCAGTGGGCACTCAGTGAAATTGCTGAGCGGTCAGGTTAGAACAGATAAAAGGAAGAACGTCTTCACCCAAAGAGGGATTAACACATGGAATTCACTGCCACAGGAGGTGGTGGTGGCTACAAGCATGGGTGGCTTCAAGATGGAATTAGATAAGCATATGGAGCAGAGGTCCATCGGTGGCCATTAGCCACAAGGTATAGATAGGAACTCTGGGGCAAGTGATGCTCTGTATATCTTGGTGCTGGAGGGGGGGCAACAGTGGGAGGGGGCTTCTAGTGTCCTGGCCCCACTGCTGGACCTCCTGATGCCCCCTGGTATTCTTGGCCACCATAGGCGTAATCTTCGTGGGGGCGGCGGGGCTTCAGCCCCAGCCGAAATTTTCAGGAAGGTGCTCAGCCTCCCCCGGGAGCCACCCTTGCTCCTAGCACAGCAATGCCTCTGGCCCAGCCCCAGCCCCCCCCGGGAAATTGGAAAGTCTACACCCTTGGCAACAGTATAAAAAGCAATACAGGTGA